GCAACACAACAGAATGAGGCAACAAACTGTGACAAAGACACAAAATCACCACAAACAGACAAAATGATGAAGAAAACACACAGAACAGCCACGACATGATTTTAAAAAGACACACAAAATTACCACAAAAACACACAACTCACACAAAAGGACACACAACAGCTATAAAGAGACACAAAATTAACACAAAGACACACAGAACTCCTCCCAGATCGACACGCGATGATGGAAAACACACACACGACTGTTTCGTGTCACTGTGTTTTATTGTGTGTCTGTTTGTGTTTTATTGTCTGTTTGTGTTTTATTGTGTGTCTGTTTGTGTTCCATTGTGTGTTTGTGTTTTATTGTGTGTCTGTGTTTCATTGTGTGTCTGTTTGTGTTTCATTGTGTGTCTGTTTGTGTTTCATTGTGTGTCTGTTTGTGTTTGAATCTGAGCTCTCTGTGGGTCCAGCAGCAGCTCAACATTCAGGATTATTTTTGTGAAGCAACCTGAGTCGTTGTGCGTTCAGCAACACAACTACACAACCTCCAGTCGTCCTGAGCTGCGACTGTAAACTGTGTTTATTCACGTTAATGACTGTAGTTGATTTAAAGCTGCTCGTTATGACGTCATTCATTAAGTGAAGAACGTTAAACTAAACACGACCATCGGGACTCGTTTGTGTTTTATTTTCTTCATTTACAACATTTTTAAACTTTCTAAAGGTTGAAACTTTGGGATTTGTGATTTTATTTTCAGTACTTTGTCTGTTTTTGCAGCATCACTGACTTTGTTCATGTTGTTGTAGTTCCCACAAACCACCAGCAGATGGCGGCAAAACACAAAGATGAGCAGAGCGCCTGTTTCTACCGAGACGCTGTTTGATTTATTAGTGCTCGTTTTGTTTATTTATTTATTGAGAAATTAAATCTTAATTCAACTCCTGGGATTTTACAGCAGAGAGAAAACAAATAAATAAAAGTGTTTTTTTTCAAATAGTTTTGAAACATTTTGTTTGTAATTAGAACATATTTATGATTGTGATTAAAATTAAGAAGCTTTTTTGAGACAAATTTAAACAAAACTGTAATTTTCATGGATTTTTTTCATAATTATTTTTCAGCGTCAGAGGATCAAACTGAATAAACTCTGAGCTGATGAGCGGATCAGAGACCACAGCCAGTCGACTCCAGGTTCTTTATTTACACAATAAAAACAGCACGACGTGTTACAGAGCTGTAAAAAATAGATTCTGTACAAAAGCATGAGACTGTTAGGAAACAATCTGGTCGTGGATGTATGTACAGATATTTACACGAGCCTCTTAAAGGGCCGGCGGCACGGCTCCTGGTCGCTAGCGCTGCTAACGCTAACGGCCCAGAGCAGCGGAGGAGGCGGCTCTTAGCTGGCCATCCACAGGGTGAACGGGACCAGGACGGCGGGAAGAACGGTGCCGGGCGAGATCCCTGAACACACCACGGACAGCAGGCCGAGCAGGACCGCCAGAACCACGTTCCTCTGGTCCCGGATCAGAGACTTGAGCCACTCGCAGAACTGCAGAGACCAAGAAGAAGAATGAACGTGAACGTAGCTGCAAGACAAAGTCCAGAACAAAGTCCAGAACAAAGTCCAGAACAACACGGAGAACATTTCTGTTGAAGACCTTCATCAGACAGACGGAAAGACGGAAACTGTGACTTTAAAACAGCATCAGCTCTGAGGTTCACTGAGCAGTTTTTAAGGTTCTGGACGGGAAGATGGTTCCAAACATCTCTGAGAACTGGGCTCCGTTCTAGACTGGTTCTAGACTGGTTCTACACAGGTTCTACACTGGTTCTACACTGGTCTTGGATCTGGTTTTAGACTGACTTGATGTAATTTTGGACGAGTTCTTTATAAACTTGGTTTGAGCTGGTTCTGGACTTGGTTTTAGGCTAGTTCTGGACTTGGTTCTGGACATTTTCTCCTTTCAGAGGTTCCTGTAACAAACTGATGAATCGAATCCTGATGCAGCCAGAAACAGAGAAAACTTTGTGTATAAAACCAAAACAAACGAAGCCGAAGTCCGAGTCAAGAACCTTTCACAGAAGCTGAGAGAGTCCAGACCCGGCTGTCGTAAAGAACCAGGAGGAGCTCCTGTTTGTTTAACTGGAGCTCGGAGGCCCGTTAATGAACCCGAGTGTTTGGGCTGAAATTAGAGGAAGTGAAAGTGGATCAGGGAGGAAAGCAGCGTCCGTTCACATCCTGGACTCACTGATCGTCGGTTTGACTGGTTTTTATGAGCAAATGTAAGTTTAAACCGAGGGGTTCTGTTCTGGGTGGTTCTGGAAGCATTAAACGGTTTTTGACCTGGTGTTTAACTCTTTTTGTTTTTCGCCATTTTAAATTGACGGTCTGAGGTTGGTTTTGGAGCTAACTTTAGATTTATGGGATTTGTTTTAAGCTTAGTTTAAGTCTGAATTTTCACTATTTTAAAGTAGTTTTAAACTAACTTTGGACTTGGTTTAGGACTGATTTTAAAATTAGTTTTATGCGGGTTTTGGGCTGGTTTTAAACTGGGTTTAGATTCGTTGTTTCTCCTGGTTTTTGATTCGGTTCTTGTCTGTTTCTGAGCGTCGTCTTGTGCTGTGTCATGTTCCTCTTCACCACTAGGGGTCCCTGTTTGCAGAACAACACCTTTACTGATTTGTGGCGTCTCCTGGCATCGAACCAGTTTGTTCTCTGAACACGCTCACAACGCTGAAGACGACAAACTGAACCAAACAAACACCTTCATGCTAGCAGCGCTGTGAGGCTACATGCTAACATCAAACCTACATTTAAGCCACATGGAATGAAACTGACGACGCCAGTGACGCAAACAACAATAAGACAGTAACGAGATGCAAAACGATGAAAATGAGACAGAAAATGACCCGAGACGAAAAACCAGACACACGAGGAACAAGAAAATGAAGAAAACTCGACACAACGACAGCAAATACTGGACAAAAACAAGGACAAAAACGGCACAAAACAAGACAACGAGACACGAATCTGCAAAAATGAGATAAGAAATGGCCGAAAACAAGAAAAACGAGACACACAACGGAAACAAACAAGAAAGGAAATGAAGAAAACGAGACGCAAACCACCAAAAAAATGGCACAAAAATGACAAAAACAACACAAAATGGCACGAAACGAGAAAACGAGACGACAAACGACCGAAGTGTGACACAGAATCATAAAACTGAGCCAGAAAATGACACAAGAAATGATCTAAAACAAGAAAAACGAGACAGAAAACGAGTAAAAACAGACACGAAACCAGAAGACGAGACACAAATCAACCGAACCGTGACACAAAACTACAAAACCGAGACGCAAAACGACGGAACGGAGACAAAAAACGACGACGAACAGACGAAGCGAGTTTCTTCCACTGTTGGCGTCGTCTGTGGAGAATGTTGTTGTTGTTGTTGTTGTTGTTGTTGTTGTTGTTGTTGTGTGGAGCTACAGGACTTTAAGACGTGACCCACAGCGAAGACAAGCGGGTTCAGAGGGTTCAGGTTCATCTGGTCGGTGCAGCTGGTGGAAGCGGTTTTGCTGTTTCTGAAGCCGGACCGTCTGAGTCCGCCTCGCTGCTCGCTGCTGGCAGCTCTCAATGCAGCTCTTGTTCTCGGGACTTTTCCGAGCGGCGACCCAGTTTTTTCCTCCTCGGCTTTAGAAGACGGTCTTTAAAACGCTCCAGAGTTTTGTTTTTCAGGTCAGAACCCAGAACGGAGTCGAGGCGCTCTGGTGACGCACAGACAGAACATTTGTTTTGTGTTGTGACATGAGCGCGAGTCGACGCCTCCTCCGGCTGCGGTTCGGCGCCTCGTCGTCACTCCGCCACAAACAGCCGTGTGAATATTCCAGCTTCAGAGCAAGAACCAGGAGCTGTGTGGCAACAACCAGAGCTGGACGGCACGGAACCGGAAAACCCGACGCACAAGTGACGGCAGCCAGAAAGAAAACGATGAAAACGAGACACGAGACGACTGAAGCGAGACACAAAGTGGCACGAAACACACAAAACGAGACAGAAACTGATTAAAAACAAGACAGAACAACTAAAGTGACCCTAAAATCAACCAAACTGTGATATGAAACTATAAAAGGAGACAGAAGACAACGTAGACGAGGCCCAAAATAACACAAAACTGGAAAATGAGACATAAAATAACACAAACAAGAGAAAGAAGACACACAACGGACAGAAACAAGAAAGAATGTGATCAGAACGAGACACAAAACTACAAACACGACCCAAAATCAACCAAACTGTGACACAAAACTACAAAACTAGACAGAAAACGAATCAAAAGAAGCCCAAAATAAATAAATAAACACATAAATAATCATAAAAACTGATGAGAGAAACAGAACTGAAGACTTTCACTGTTCAGCTCCTTCACACACAACAGATGATTTGATTGTTTTGTCTGTGAGTGCAGAAATGAGCATCAGAGTTTCTACAGAATGAAACCTTCAGAGAACATTTCAGAAGCTTTTCTGGAACAAAGACTCAGTTCAGTGAACAGAGTTTAACATCTGAACATCAGGTCAGGTCTGGTTGATTATTTGGGTTGGACTTTACTTTAGCAGAACTTTCTCCTTCTAGCCTCTGAACAGAAGCTGAACGTTCCTCCTGAACGTCTGAACCCCAGAGAGCCTCTGTGGAGCAGCCCGCTGCGTAAAGACGCACCCTGCGCGTAAAAAGCGCCACCGGCCGGTTCCGGTTCTCACCTTGTCGGTCTGCAGGCTCTGCGCGGTTCCGTAGCGGCAGTAGGTGACGAAGTGCTCGCAGTTGTTCCACAGCAGGCTGTAGGACACGGAGCCCACCAGCCGCTCCGCCCGCCGCGCCACCTCCTCCCCGGGCAGCGCGCCGCGGCGCACCGCCCGGTCCATGGCGTTCCGCAGGATCCCGGCTCCGTACGCGAAGTCCTCCACCGAGTCCACGCGGATGCTGGCGCGCTTGGACAGGACGCCGAGCAGCAGCCGCGTGTTGGTCACCATCTCCTGGATCTGGCGGCCGTCGGCGGTCAGAACCGGCAGGATGTCCGGGATGAGGTGCGCCACCTGGTTGTCGCCCAGGTAGATGCCGAAGTGCGTGAAGAGGGTCCGGGGGACCTCCAGCAGGTCTCCCCGCTGGAACCGCTGCGGGGCTCCGGCGGGCTGCGGGGCGGACTCGTCCCGCTCACAGCGCCTGGTGAGCGGCTGCTCTCCGCGCAGAGGCGGCAGCAGGCTGGACAGCTTGACGTGGGCGAGGAGGAAGAGCCTCTCCAGGAGGAAGGTGAGCGTGTCCAGCATGGCTGAGCTGCAGCGGCTGCTCCGGGACTGATGCCCTCCTGGATGCTCCGCACAGTTAAAACTCCTGCAGGAGGTGTTGGGGGGAGGGTCACGTGACTCCCGCAGCGGAGGGGGGAGCTGAAGGAGGTGCAGGAAGCCAACCCCGAGCGACCCGTCAGGACCCAGAGCCGAGCCTCCATCAGGGCTGCAGCAGACTTCCACCTCCGCATTAAGCAAACACGCAGCACTCAGAGTTTCCACCGCAGCACACATTCATCAGCGCCATGAGGAGGCCCAGAGCCTCCAGAACCGCCTCACACGGGCCAGCGGCTCCACGGGGCCTTTCCACTGGGCTGTCAGGAGGATTTACTTCTGAAACACCAGGACTGAGTTCGGTCGGTTTCCATCGACTGCTGTGGAGCCAGGAAACGGGTCAGAAGGTGGCGCTGTGGCGGCGCTGGCTCTGGTAAACAGACTCGAAGACGGAACCACAACCGTCCGCTAAAAGGTGTCCAGAACTTTACAGAGAACCACCTCGAGCAGGAACCCTCAGAGCAACACGTTCTAGATCTTCAGAACCAGGATCACGTCTAAAATCAGCTCACGTCCAACCGGGTAAACAAAACCACATGTCTCAGTCCCAGTGGCACCAGTCAGAACTCTCACAGATTCTGTCATTTAGTTTGGACCAGTTAGGATAATAGTCGGTTGTCGCACTGATCAGACACTTAGCTGCCGTCCTGACGTCCTTCCTCACATCACGTCAGTCTGACGGTTCAGGATGAACAAACCAGGACCCCGAAAGGACAGAAACAGGAAAGAACACGAAGGAAACGAGACACAAATCAACCAGACTGTGATAAAAAACTACAAAAATGAGACGAAATGTGACGTGAGAGGCACAAAACAAGAAAAACAAGACAAGAAAACGATGAAAACGAGTCACAGAACGACTAAAACGAGGCGCAAAATG